ATAAATAGGACTAGTATGATAAGAAAATATTGATAATATTAGTGTGTTTCTCTTATAGGATATTTCATAAGAAAACATAATAGATGAGATTTAGAAAGATAGGAATAATAAATCTTATCTCAACTCATGTAAAATATATACTTATTAGAAGTACATCATTAAAGTAAAGTCAAATCAAATAGAGAATTTGGGTTGGTCAATATCCTATAGAGGCTAAGCTTCCTAAGCTTAATTACATTCAAGGATACTATCAAGAAATACTCTTAATAAAGAAAATGCATCTTTATTTTGATTTTCTTAGGTTAACATGAAAGGAAGACTATGATTCAAAGGTTGTTATCATATTAAGATAATTTATGCTAGGAGTTGGATCATCAAAGGATGACTTATGATAACAATAAGAGGTGACTAAAGGGTAACATTAGGGTTGTTAAATGAAAATTCCAATTACCAAGTGATACTTTGATAAGGGTACCACTAAGGATGTAGCATAATCAATTTATAATAAGTATAAAGATCAATTTTTAGTACCATATGAAATCTAACCACTTGGTTGATAAATAATTTAAAAGTTATCATAGATTTTGATTCCCTTAATATTAATCTAAATGGCCAATTTGAGCCAAAAATAATGGCTTCATATTCTACCACATTATTCATTTAAGTGTATGTTAAAGCATGGAATATTGTATAATGCCTCAGTTAGGAGACACAAATATGAATCCACTTATGCTCTAACTCCTACTATTATTTTTTAAGTATATATTGATTTTAATAAAGGAAGAACAACCAAAATAAATCTCTCATTCTTAATTCTTACTAATATACAAAACTTAACATCGATAAAATCATCATTCAAAGGAGAATCAACAGATATCATGTATTCTGCTAGAAAAGTAGCTAAGCCTATCATTTGGAGGCTGGTTAAGGCTTACATATAACATCAAATCGGACTAATATCATTGCCCACCTACTTGTCATGACAAAGTGAGTGTAGTCATGATGTACTATAAAGGATTTACTTGAGAGATTAAACTGGTCTTATTAGATAACATATAATATCTTAATATTTAGACATGAAAGATCAATACAAGACAATATTTTTCGATAAAAGGATATTTCATCTTAATAGGTATAAATTTGTGAATGAGATAGAAAATGACATTCTACTTATCGTTTTTCAGTAATTTAATCAAGCAAAGCCTCTACTACCTCGTTGAGAGCTACTATGTAAACTATTACTAGTTTCCTATATATCTAAGATGTCAATACTAAAGGATATAGTACGTATTTTTTAAATCATCAAGTGTAATATTGATAAGTTTTATCCTAATAAAATTTGTCATTTTTTATTAATTCTACAAATAATAGTTGGCAACTGCCAAAAAATATTGAAAATAAAATGCCTTCAAAGGCTAAATCGCCCTTGAAGAGATCTTAATTATGTCAAACTTTTTGATGGTTTTATTTTTATAGTGGCTATAATATTCATGTATTTGTCTCAATACCTCAATGAAAAATAATGAATTCTAATAAATTTCTTGAGAAAAATACAAATATACATGTGAGCCTCTAAAAGGGAACTTCTTACTGGGGTTAGAATGCAAATTGTGTTATCATACTATCTCGTATGTTAAAATAGTCGCAAGCCTTTACACTCTACATAGAAGGCAAATAGAAGAGCAAATTGAATCATACATATGATTACCCATGAAAAATAGTAACTTTCGCCTACACATCTCGATAGATAATAATATATAATATTCAAGAGTTATTAGATTTTCTTTCATTCGACACATCAGCTCAAATGAGATTTATTTGATATGGGTGTCAATTTTTTATGGGTGTGAGCCCCCATGGTTAATTATATATTAGGTTTCAACCTAAGAACAGTCTTAATTAGGGATACTATTTTATTCTATTCTTGCTTTTTTGTATAGCGAGATTCCTAGGTTCTTCTAATCCAAAGGAGATATGCTTAATAGGCTATATTGAACACACACAAAGCTCATGTCATCATATGGTCAGCTTGAAGAAAAGAAATCAAGAGAGGAGAAATCACATATAAGGCATATAAGACAGAAATATGGAAGATATGCCATCAGTGTGATGTAGATAAAATGAATTTATAGCCTGTAAAGAATGGAGAGCTTAGCCAATGTTAAGACATATGTCGATATACTCATAACCTATACTTTAATCCTAAATCTATAAGGAACATACTGCACTCCCAGCACTAACGTCCTCAACCTAGATAATATAAGAAAATGAGAGGACTTATAACCTAAATCCCATTAGGGACCTTAGTAACCCTGACCTATGTTTATCGCTTTACTCGAAAGGGGTACCAACTAAGACAATCTGCTCACTAACGCTCGTAAGAGCTACAAAATTTAAAGAAAAATAAAAACCTAAGAGCCAATTATCCCCATCTAGATCAATTACAAAAATGCCTAGATATAATCTAAGGCGACGCTGAAAAAGCATCCAAAAAGGAAAGACCAAATGATACTCATTCAGCCCAGTCTTTCTACAAAAAAACCAGCTTAAAAGCTGCAAAACAATACAAAGAAACCAAAAAAATCAGCAGTCAAAATAAACTTAAAAAACTTACCAGAGCAGCCGATATGCCAAAAATCCCAGGCTTGAATAAAGATGAAAAATCTCCAAGAACTCTGCTCATCCGCCGCCCAAAGAACACTACCAATCAGAAACAATCCAGAAGTAACACTCGAAACTTGCAAAGAAGAACACCTCCACAAAAACAAAATGTTGTAAAAACAATCATGCCAGACACAATTACAATAATAAGTGTGCGTTAATAACCTGATCATACCAATACCCATGCCATTCTTACAAACCCCCTAAACAAGAAAGATGAACTGGGCATTCCAGAAATCAATAAACACAGTTAAAATAGTCAGTAAGGAACACTGTAATATAAACCCCAAACAACTATACCAATAATTCCCATAATTGTTCCCAGCAGCCCTCACGGAAGTCACAAACTGCTCCATCAACCTCCCAAGCATAAACTCCCCATACCAACAGTAATTATGCCCCAGATTCTGAGAACAGAGAAAAGCCCAAACCCTTTCAGCCGAAAAACCCCTCCAGCAAACCCACTTACTAAAAAGTGGCCTTGATTTTTAGTATAAGTTAAACTTTTAAAAAGTGACCCAAGGGGTTATATATTAAATTTTGATAGCATTTTGGTTGATTTTAAGCCTTATATTTATTTATCTTGATTAAACAAAGTAACATCCTGAGAGCCTAACATGAAAACTCCATCCAAGAAACCCCCAAGTAAAACAATCGAGGAAATCTAAGAAAGCCATGCCATCCTAATACACAATCAAGAGTAAACATATCAGTCATCCTAGAATAAAATAAAAAATGAAAGGCCAGAAGTGCAACTGGGTTCTATAATATGCCCCAGGAAAAAAAATAGGTAGCTAACATCTACCATAATTACAACTCAGCCTAAAATTATACATCAATGAATGACATGCATGCGGGTCTTGATCAATCCTCATATGTTTGGCCTACTACTTTCTAAAATATACACATGCCTATATGGCTTTTCTGACTAAAATTACATACAGAAAAAAGAAAATTATATAAATTCCCTATAAAATAGAGATTAACAAAATTATAATAAAGCAATTGTATTCACATCCATACCTAATCATTAGGGCTACATTCTTAAAGCATTAGCAATCCATATATTACATGTTAGAGAGAACATTATGATTATTATGACTTTTCATTAGGGAATGTGGTCATGTGCAGAAGATATCTATATGAATAGTCTAACTACTTAAGGGCAAGTGTCTACTTATTATTCTATAAAATAAAGAAATAAAGCAATCATAAATAATTTAAATCATAAACACAATATCACATCATCACAAGTACAAACTAAAAAAAAAAAAAAATTAAAACAATATTATCTTAGCTACACCCTACCATAGGATGCCTACAAAAATGTTATATCTAGCACCTAAGCATGTGCAAAGTTAGTGTTAGCTAAATAACTACCCTAATTTAGGTGAAGGGTTTAACTTTCAAAATCAAGTTTATATTTTTCAATTTATTAACCCACACATTTCTTTTTTAAGTGATTAACCATTTAGGTGGATTAATTAAAACTTAATTTTAAATTTATGATTTTGATCATTAAGTTATAAAGATTCCAAAATATATATGCCTTAAATCTCATCTAAATTTATTCAAAATGTAACAACCCATAGAAACTCCGATGATGATCGTGTTGATAGAAAATCTCATACGAAGAAAATCACAAATATTTATAATGTCCCTCAAATGCCCATAAAAATTCAAAATTCAAACACACCAAGATTTAACGCAGAGGTAACAATTTCAGCGTCACATCACTGAAAGAATTTCTAATGGTGCCACGTCTCATTCCATTGCAGCCATTCCTGGAGAATTTTCGGTAGCCAAAATGCGTTTTCAGCTACGAATACTTCATTTATTATCTATTATAAATAGATGATATAATCATTTCTCACAAACAAGCCCTTAAAATCTCTTAAAAATAATAGAAAGCCCATATAAAGGAAAATATTAAAATGTAAACCAAAACTGTAAGAACAGTTCAAGACCTGGCTAGCCGGCTTGCTGACCATTCAAAGCCATGGGCTTTGAAATTATTCTTTTCTGGTCAAAAATACGCCCTTGCCTTCCTCCTTAGAATGCCTTTCTGTCTCTTCTTAACCTCATCTCTGTCACTGTCCTCTGTGACTCAGTCTCTCCTCTTATCTTTGAATCATCTCATGCAACTTAACATAAGTTCCACCGCCTTCATTTCTCATATTATTGCAATCTTCTACCTCCCAATTCACTTCTTCTACCCACTCATTCCTACCACTTCTGGTCTCTCTCTCTCTCTCTCTCTCTCTCTCTCTCTCTCTTTTTCTCTTTTCCCCTCTTCTCTCTCTCTCTCTCTCTCTCTCTCTCTCTCTCTCTCTCTCTCCATGAATTCTACTACACCAGCAGCTACCTTCTCCTTCTCAACACCTTCGTCATCCAATCACAGCTTCTTTAAAGCTAGTAGGGATCATACTATCAGCAACGTTCATGAAGAGAGGCCTATATCACTTTCTGCAAGGCCAAGGTTTTCAACTGAGTTCAATGGAGAAGTTGGATTAGCTAAGTTTAAATTAGCTCCTCCTTCTCCAGTGCCTATCTCCCATTCTTCCTTCTTCTCTATCCCCGGAGACATTAGCCCGACCGAGCTTCTTGGCTCACCGATGCTCCTTTCATCATCTAATGTAAGTTATTGTAATTGTATGAATGGAACTTTTCTTCAACTTTTGTTGCTGAAAATATATACGTGCATGCAAGCTTATAGGTTGATATCATATTAACTAAATGGTTTTAACATAACAGAAATCAACCAGTCTTTTGATTGATTATTTATAAAAAAACTGATATTGTTTGTGTACATTTCCATTGTTTCTGCATAACTTTCTTATCAGATACAATTGATAAGGTCAGTTTGTTATCTTGTAGCAGATCACGGCTTCTCAAGACGCTGAAAATTTTTCATCACATGCCTTCAACTGGAGGAACAACAGTATTAATTATATGCAAGGAATAATGGAGGAATCCAAGTCTTACTCTGATATATCCTTCCAAACTTCTACAAGACCAGAAAGTTTGCAAGCTTCTTCCTATCTTCCTTCATCAATGGGCCTAGTTACGACTTCAGTATGTCTTCTTCTTGATCCAACTTCATTTATCTAAAATAATGGAGGTTCCTATAGTTTTGCTTTGCTCCTTTGTGAAGAAGAACAACCTTTTTTTAAAAAAAAAAAAATCTAATAAATACTCCTCAAGTTGTTTACTTTTTGTTAAAAAATAAAAAAATTAAATATCTTTAAAAAGTGGAAAATTTTTCAGGTACCTAGTTTGTCACAACTTTGATAAGCTGCCAAGGTTTATGAAAGTCAACTAATTCATCTGATTTCTACTAGAATAACTAAAACTTCGTTTGAGACAGCTTTTTTAAAACAGCTTTGTAGTACAAATATTTTTTGTAACTCTCCTGAATTGAATAAAAATTGAGATAGATTTCAAATTTGATCAATTTTTTCTTGAAATAAATCCAATAATATTTTACTAATTTTATATTAAAGTCGTCTTATTTCTACTATAATTTAATGGAATTGTAATCAAAACATCCTCAAAAGATTTTTTCTTATAAATTTATCAAATTTGGAAGAGACAACACAAAACCACAATGTTGAAAATTTATGAACTAGACTACAAAGATTGGAATATATCGTCCTTCCCAACAAAAGAGGAAAACAAAGTTCTAAAATAATTTCCTAATAAAATATTTTGATTTGAACTTTGTCATACTAAACCACAACATTTATCTTATTCAAGGAAAAACATGCACAAGGAGAACATCAACAACTGTGGAGCTACAACCATCCAGCTGAATCAAATTCAACAGTGATTCCATTATCTGCACAACAAAACAATCATGATGAGTCTGTGCACATCAGTACAATCATGGCAGCTCAAGCCCTAAATGATCAAAAGGGAGTAGAAGATGGATATAACTGGAGAAAATATGGACAGAAGCAAGTGAAAGGGAGTGAAAACCCTAGAAGCTATTATAAGTGCACATATCCAAATTGTCCATCTAAAAAGAAGGTTGAAAAGACATTAGAAGGCCAAATAACTGAGATTATATACAAGGGAAAACACAGTCATGCAAAACCTAAGCCCACAAGAAGGAACTCATCTTGTTTTGGATCAGATCAGACCTTCTTAAATTCTCAAGTACTTGATTCTATAACAAATGCAGAGAACTCTTCTGCTTCATATGGTGATGATGATTTTGATATGAACTCTATGATGACCAAATCTCAGGGAGATGGTTTTGATGAGGATGAGCCCGATTGGAAAAAAATGTAAGAAAATATTTTATACATAGTTCTTCAATGACGTCTCTATATAGATTATCGATATAATTTGTTCCTCTTTTTTCATTTGTATATAGGAAAAATGATTCTGAGAATGATGGTTTCTCAAGTAGTAGAAACATAAAAACACCTAAAGTAGTGATTCAAACCACAAGCGACATGGATGTACTTGATGATGGCTATCGATGGAGGAAGTACGGGCAAAAGGTGGTGAAGGGGAATCCAAATCCTAGGTGAGTCTCACAAGCTTGCATAGTTAACTACAGTAAAACCGTTATTACCGGCGAACAAAATTCGCCGGTAAAATGAAAATTCCGATGGAAAGAGGATGTTTCCGTCGACTTTCCGGTGGAATTTCATACGGTAATGTCGCCGTAATAATTACGTCGCATTAGACGCCGGTAACAATACCGTAGAAACCGGAGTGTATAGATCTGCCGGAAGCTCCGACGATAATCCCACGTTTTCCTGTAGTTGTTCTTTATTTTTCCTTGCAATAAAGCTAGTAATTCATACAAGCTACCTTAACTTTTCAAATTAAAAGCTGCTTACTGATTTTATTAACATTTTTCTTTTCAATAGGAGCTACTACAAATGCACAACCGCCCATTGCCCAGTGAGAAAACATATAGAGAGGGCATCAACAGATCTAAGGGCAGTGATCACAGCCTATGAAGGAAAGCACAACCATGACGCCCCACCTCCTCGAGGAAAGGGAAGCATGATTAGCAAGCCATTACTCGGCAATAACTTCTACAGTTTCAATAATTTTACAGCGCCTACAAGGCCAATGGCTCTACCAACCCACATAAGTCAAGTGGCTAATGATTCTTTCTTTGGGTCAAGACAAAACTTTGCATTGGATAACTATGGATTCTCAAGATTTGATAATTCAGTGGGATCTTTTTATGGAAATCAACAGCAGCAGTAGATCTGCTTCAGCTGCATGCATGCAGAAGTGGCCATGCCATGCATGGTGGATAGTTTTGCATTTAAACATGCAAGGAGTAGTAGTCAAGGCATACTTAGGCTTCTTTTGGAATAACTTTCTTAATGCTTTTTAAAGCAACTATTCAGTACAAAAATTTCTAGTTGAAGAAATTTTTGTGCTAAAAAACTGCTTTGTAAAACATTAATAAGAAAGCCGTCCTAAATGAAACCTTAATTGATTCTTCTTTCTTTTTATTTATTTAAATTAATAGTGTTTGAGAGGCACAGATAATAACAATAATTTAACTAAAATGATCTATAACGTATAATGTTTAGAATTTTTTTTTGCCAATATCAAATGGAAATATTGGCACTCATAATTAATAGTTTGAATTTTGTGGTGTTAACTGATAGATGTTTGCTGTTAATGCTTATCTTTATTAATTCTTATGCTGATCACATATTATCTAGTCTTGTTCTTCGATAAATGAAAATAATATTCGTAATATTATGATGGTGTATAAAATAAAAAGAAATTTATTTTTTTTTTGGTTGGTGTCTATATCCGCAGGCCATATATATGTCAATGTCTATAATAGTTTAATTCGGTAAACAGGTTTTGCCTTCTCAATTCCTTAATAAAACAACTGATGAAAGATTGAACAGAGACCTATTCAATATCTTTTAAAACAAGCTAGTAATAAGTTAAAAATGGTTTAAAAATTGATTCTACAAACAAGTTTAATTCATAGGCTTCGTTTGGGATGACTTTCTTATTGCTTCCTAAAGCAGTTTTCTAGCACAAAAAAATAAAATTTTTGTACTAAAAAGCTACGTTACCAAGTAGTAAAAAAACCGTCCCAAACCGTTAGGAAAATGTTCACCCCATTAATGAATTCATATGTTAATGTATTTCGTCCTTATGCCAATCGGTTATATATTCAACTTTTTTTATTTCTAATATCCATAACATAACCTACATATAACATGGAGCAAATATATATTGTTTGAAAATCTTTTAAGGAAAAATAGATAAATTTAATGTGCCTTTTATCTATTTTCTAATGATATTTCCAACAAACATAACAACAACAACATCAAAAATACTGTGGATGATTAATCCTATATTAAAAACCTTGAGGAGGAGAACTTTACTAAAGTTTCTAAGAAAAAAGGGAAGAAATCCAAGGAATCTGCTTCCTCTATGCCGTTCTCTAGAAAAACTTAAACTACCTCTAACGATTCTCATGGTTAAGTCCCTTATTTGGAATGTTAGGGGTATTGGTGGGAAGGATTCGATTACTAGAGTTAAAAATATTTGTAGGATTCATAATATTCATCTTTTGGTTTTAATTGAACTTTTGATTAACATGAGTAGATTGAATATTACTGCTTCTAAATTAGGTTTTATGAATAAATTTGCTAATTGTTCTAATAAGATTTGGATTTTTTGGAACAATGCCATCAATGTGAACATCCTGAATGATTTTATTCAAGTTGTGAATGTTTATATATCTATGTTTAATTTTGATTGTAATGCATCTTTTGTCTATGCCGACTGCTCTAGAGTAGGTCGTCTTGCCCTGTGGGTTCAGCTTAAGAATTTTGCTTCTAACACATCAGGGCCGTGGTGTGTTGGAGGGGATTTCAATGTTATTTTTAATGCCAATGAAAGATTGGGAGTTAATAGTCCTAATATTAATGCTATGGAGGATTTTAACTCCATGATATCTACTTGTGATTTACAGGATATAGGTTTTTTTGGGAATGCTTATACTTGGAGTAGAGATAACTTGTGGCAAAGACTAGATAGAATTCTTTTTAATAATGATTGGATAGCTAAGTTTCATATGATTCATGTGGAGCACCTCAGTAAGACTGCTTCTTATCATGCCCCTTTACTGCTTACTATTAATGCCAATAACAGTTACATTCCTACTGTTTTTAAATTTCAAAATATGTGGTTATCTCATCATGATTTTCTTAATGTTGTTGAAAACAATTGGCATGCTCCTATTTTCCCTGATGGCAATATTTCGGGTATAGCTAAGCTTTGGAATAATCTTAGTAGGGTGAAGCAAGTTTTGAGATGGTGGAACAAACATATCTTTAAAAATTTATTCTCTAATATTAAGAATGCTGAGAAGGAGGTGATGGAGCTTGAAAATGTTTATATGCTTAATCCTGATAGTTTTAATCTTTCTGAGCTCAATAATGCTAAGATTAAATTGTTTAAGTTACACGATCAAGAAGAAACCTATTGGCATAAAAAAGCTACTACTAAATTCATTGTTGAGGGTGATAGAAACACCAAGTTTTTCCATGCTTTGGCTAACAAGAAAAAAAATTAGGAATCACATTTTTAAAATTGCTATTGATAATGGGAGGGTCTTGGAGGAGGAGGATGCTATTTTAAATTCCGGGGTTGATCACTTTAGTAATATTTTTAATTGTGGCTTTATGTCGTCTCCTATTGTGAATCCTTATATTGTTCCTTGCTATATTTTGGATACTGATAATTTTAATCTTACTCTTGCCCCTTCTGAGGAAGAGGTTTGGAAGGTTATGCAGGCTATGAATAGGGATTCTATGGCTGGCCCGGATGGTTTTACTACTAAGTTCTTTATTAATACTTGGCATATTACTAAAGGGGATATTTTGGATGTTGTTTCTGATTTTTTTTCGGGGAATCCCTATATTAAAATTTTCTCCTCTACCAATATTGTTTTAATTTTTAAGGAGGCTACCAATAACTAGAATGACTTTAGACCGATTAGTTTATGCTATTTTTTTAACGAGCTCATTTCTAAGATCATTGCCACTAGACTTATTAATATATTACCTAGGATTATTTCTCAGAATCAAACTAGCTTTGTCAAAGGTAGGAGCATTTTTGATAATATTTTGCTAGCTCAAGAAGTGACGCATGATATCAATGCTAAAATTAAAGGTGGGAACATTATTTTCAAATTGGATATTACTAACACTATAGGAAAACCCGCTATTACCGGCAGATATAATCCGCCGGTAACATGTGAAATCCGATGGAAATCTGGTTTCTGGCGCACTTTCCGGCGGAATGTCATGCGCTGGTTCATTAATGGAAAAAGTAATGGTTTTTTTTAAATCTAGTCAAGGTCTGCGCCAAGGTGATCCTCTTTCCCCTGCTTTATTTATAATTGCGGTTGATTATTTATCCAGGGGTTTGGAGTTTCATTATAGAAGACATCCTAAGTTGTTTTATCATACTATGGGTGGTATTCCGATTACTCATCTGAGTTTTGCTAATGACTTTATCATTTTTGCTACTAGTTCTTTAACTAATACTAAATTTCTTATCACGCATTTAAATGATTTTCAAAATATGAATGGCCTTTCGATTAATAAGAATAAAAGTACTTTTATTATCTCTAAATCTGCTAGTCAAGGTAGAATTAACGATATTAAAAGGATTTGTGGGTTTAATTTTTCTTCTCTGCCAATTAAATACTTGGGTACCCCTATTTTTAATGGTAAAAAGAAGAGCATACTTTTTGAGGAGATGGTTACGGTGTTTCAAAACATAATTATCAATTGGTCTACGAATTTTCTCTCGTTTGGTGGTAGACTGCTTCTTATTAAACATGTGTTAAATTCGATCCCTATCTTCATTTTTCATACGCTTAATCCTGCTCCTTCTATTTGCCTTAGATTGGAAAGACTCATAAATAAGTTTTTTTGGGGAGCTAAGAATAGTAGGTCTTGCATTTTGTGGTCTTCTTGGCTTAAAATTTGTGGCCCTTTTAATGAAGGTGGTCTCGGGTGTAAGAGTATTTTGGACATATTACGGCTTTCTCTTATAAACTCTGGTTTTCCTTTAGATCTAATAGTAGTTTATGGGCTAATTTCATGCATGCCAAGTACTGTAAAGAGAAACATCCCACTGGTTGTATGGTTAAGAAGTCTGACTCTTCTGTTTGGAAGAGGTTATGTAACATTAGCTAGGTTGCGGAGTCGTTTATCCAATGGGGTTTGGGTAAAGGGGAGATTTTTTTTTGGCAAGATAATTGGTTAGGTACGGGTTCGATTGACAGCATGCTTTTCTCTCATACTCTCATTTCTACTAAGGTTAGTTACTTCATTAACAATGGTAATTGGAATATTAATAAGCTTACTTATCTGTTACCCGAAGTCATTTTAAATCAGGTTTTGAGCATTCCGTTGAATATTTGTGATGATGACCGCATTCTCTTTAACTGTTCTACCGATGGTCTTTTCAAAATTAAAAAGGTTTGGGAAGTGTTTAGAATTAAGAATGAGGCTTCCAGAATTTATGGTAATATTTGGCACAATAACATTCCCTTATCTTATTTTATTCTTGCTTGGAGGTGTATCAAAGGTTTTTTACCAGTTGATGTTAGGCTTTGGAATAAAGGTTTTTACTTGACTTCGAAATGCCATTGTTGTTCTGATATTGAAAGTATTGATCATGTCTTTCTTTATGGTGATATTGCTCAAAAAGTATGGAGGTATTATGCTATGATTGTTAACAAACCCTTTCCTGTTATTAATTATATATATGTATTTGTTGTTCAGTCTTTTTTAACTGAATGGATTTCCTCGGTTAAAGATCATGTGCTTAACTTATTGCCTATTCTTATTTTGTGGTTCCTGTGGAAGGGCCGTAATGAAGCTAAACATAATGGGATTAAGATGGAGAATAAGGTGATTATCTCTAATATTAATCATAAATTGCTTCAATTATTTGATGGTAAGCTTATATCGAGAAATAATTTACTCCATTGTGATGTTTTGTGTGAGAAGCTGGGTATCCCTATTAGTACTGAGGATTTTATTAGTAATGTTAGAGTTATGAGATGGTTAAAACCGTTATCTCCCTCCCTCAAGCTCAATACTGATGGATCTGTTGATCTTAACTTTGCTGGTTTTGGGGGTCTTATTCGGGACAATTTTGGCAAAGTAATTGTGGCTTATGCGAGCCCTTTATCTCAGTGTATGGTC